GACCTGGGAGTTGGACCTGATCGCTGGCTGGGGGTGTGGCTTACCCTGACCCCAAGGAGTGAGGTGCATTCAAGGGCACTGGGCCAAACAGAAAGGGCTCTGTGCCAGGAGCCAGCAATCCTGTCATCTGTCTGAGCCTCTGTGTCCCCATCAGAGAGAGGGGTGCTGTGCCCACTGCCAACCCCCCACAGGAACTGTAGGGGAGAGCGCTTTTTCAAGACTGGCCTCCATCGGGCAGGAGAAGTCATGCATGAGGAAGCCAAGGTTTGGGGCAAGGAGCGTGAACTGGGCTGAGCACTCAGCACAGTTCCTTTCTCCCCACAGCACAATGGGGCTCTGCAGGCCTCCATTGTGAAGTTGCCCATGAGGCAGAACCCTGCTGGAGCCTCTGCTGGGGGACAGGGGATGATTCTCCACTCTGCCCTGCCCCATGGTCAGCCAGATTGGCAACTCGGGCCTGGCTGTCTCGGTGGCATTGATTCCCATTCTCCACAGGCAGAAGAAAACCACCAGCTGGCCAGCGCGCTGCAGTCAGAGCAGCTTGAGAAGAAGGCGCTGGCCAGGAAGCTGCGCGAGCTGCAGGAGAAGCTGTGTGAAATCACAGCATTGGTAACTCCCACCCCCTGGGACTATGCAAGGACAGTCGTGCCACCCATGGGGAGGGGAGGTGCTGGGCCAGGACTGATCTCTCACAGCTCGGGGACAGGTGACCCCAGAGTCCTGCGCTGTGCTCCTGAGCATTTCTGTGACTGCTTCCAGCTCCGGGCCTCTGACAGGTAGTGGAGGGTGGGTCTGGACTCTGCCTGGGTCCTGATTTCACTGTTCCTGCTGGAGGCCACAGAGCCCTGAAAGGAAGATTCAGGATAGGAGGGGAGGCTCCTTGGGTCCCAGCAGCTCTGTGCATTACATCGCCAAGCCTGGGTGCCCATCACTTGAAAAGGATGTGGCATTGTCCTCCAGACCTGGTGCGTGAAATGAGACAATGCGTGTGAAGTACAGGGTGTGGGGAGAGTGCTTAGTGCCTGTGGGTCAGCTTCCTCTGATTCTCCACAGCTGTGGTCTGAAGTCCAAGTGCTGGGGAAGGAGGCTCTGGGCTTGAGGCTGTGTGCAGAAGGCCAGGTGGTCCGAGTTCCCCCGCCACCTTCCTGGGCTCCAGCTCTGGAGCAGCAGGCCCCCCTGTCCTCACCTCTGGTTCTTCTGCAGATGGCGCTGAAGAGCCAGGAGGCCCAGCACCTGCAGCAGCCGGGGGACCAGCTGCTGTCCCAGGTGTGGCAGCATGCTGAGTCCTGGCAGCAGTTGGCCATGGAGAAGGAGGCCCTGTATAGGCGCGTTCTTCTGCACAGAAACTTGGCAAGACAAGCTAAAGAACAGCAAAAAATGGTGGCCCTGGACCGAATCTGCCAGGAGATGCAGGTGATGAAGCTGCTGAGGCGGGCCCTGCGTGGGGGGCCCCCAGCCTCCTCTGACTTCGCACTTTGCATGCTGCCCACAGGAGGACCTGAAAGCCTCCAGGCTGCAGGAGGAGCAGGCAGCCCCGCTGAGAGTCCTGGCCCTGGCTGGGGCAGGTGAGTGGAGCTGCCCGGGGCAGGGTGGGCTGAGGAGCGCTCTGAAACTGAAAGTGGAGTGGGTAGAGACCTCTGCGGTGCAGCTCATTCTCCCCCAGGGGGTGGTGGCCCAGGGGACCTGACAGGTGGGTGCAGAGGGGCCTGGGGCCGCTCTGCCTCCCTTGTGGGTCTCACTGGGAACTCTCCTGGCTGCTCCCATTTTTCAACGAAGGGGACATGAAGCAATGGCCTGTGGAGGCTCCGGGGTCCAACACCACCATCCCGGAAGACTCAGGCACCTCAGAGGCCTTGGTGAGTATGACTGCACTGTCTCGTCTCCCCGTGTTTTCCCTGTCTCCCACTGTGTCCCTTCGCACAGCCCAGTGCCTTGGTTTTCTCACCCTCTCGTTTCCGTGGACCCCACACCTTCCCTGACAGTCTTTGCTCAGACCTTGTCCTCTGGCAAGCACAGGTGCTGGTGAGAGCGGGGAGCTCCTTTCTGCTCCTTTCCCCTTTGTGTCAGGAGTGACCCCTCGGGAGCCACACCCACTTCTGCAGACTGCATTTTTCTGATGGTCCTAACCTTGCCCAGGAACACCAGGCTCCGCTGCCCAGAGGCCTGAGGCAGCAGAATGGGCAATGCCAGTGCGTGGCCCATCTGGCGGCCCTGATCCAGGACACACCTGTGGAGGGGGCTCCCAACCCCAGGAGCAGTGGTAACCGTGTACCCAACCGGGAAGCTGCAGGTGAGCCAGTCCCACCTGGCTGGGAAGGGTGGGCAGGGCAGGTGGGCATGGAGCCCTGACCCTGCTGCTCTGGCTCCTTCTGCTGCTGGGGTCTTGCAGGAGGAGGCAGTGACCAAGGAGAGACGGGGGGAGCAGGAGCATCACTGTCCGGAGCTCCATGAGGAACCGGGTGACACTGGTGAGCGGGCCATGGCCTAGGGAGCAGAGGCTGTGAGGTGTGGGGTTGGGAACCTTGCAAGTGATGCCTGACTGCTATCTTCCTCCCACTGCAGAGCTCGCTGCCATCTGCCCCAGAGAGTGGGTGGTAGGGAAAGAAGAGGGGCATCAGGAGGAGGAGGAGGAAAAAGAACAAGGGGAGGAGGAGGAAGAGAAACAAGAGCATAATAAAAATGATGAGGAGGAGGAACAAGGGGAGATGGAGGAGAAGAAGGAGGAGGAGGAGGTTGAGGATGTGGAGGAGGAAGAAGAGGAAGAGGTGGAGGAAGATGAGGATGCGGAGGAGGAAGCAGAGCAGGAGAAGCAGCAGTTCAGCAGCCAGCTGTGCCCAGGCCCGGAAGCGCTGCAGGTAGGCTGCACATCTCCTGGGCGGAGTCAGGGTGCCCACCGCGCCCTCTCCCTCTGGGTAAAGCTGCTTGTGCTGCAGCAGGTGGCGCTGCAGCAGGACGATGGCAGGTCCTGTCAGGCCCAGTTGGTGGCCACCGCACAGACCCATGGTGAGGAGCCCACGGCAGGGCCCAGGGGCACCTGGGACGTTGCCGCTTCAGCCACAGACGGTGGTGAGTAGAGCCTGGAAAGGGGTCAGGGACAGGAGTGGGCATGGGCACAGCGCTCAGTGCCTGCTGCTCTCTCTCCCAAGATCCTCCAGAGCGGAGCCCTGCTCACCCTGAGGAGCCCCCAGGAGAAGAGGCCCGGGCGGGGTCCTCCCCACAACCCCAGCTGCCTGAGAGTGAGAACACCATCAGGGCCCAGGCTTCGTTCTTCATCCCTTTGTGGGGTTTTTCTACCTCACTGAGGAAAAGGACACCATGCACCTTAATTTGATTGAAAGTCTTTCTGGAGAAGTGGGGCCAGGGCTCTGCCCCCACTGTTCCCCATTCAGTCCCTGCCTCCCTGTCCCTACTCTCCTCCCCCCTCCCTGTTACCTACCCCTTTAGGAGCAAGGGAAATGCCACAAATTTCCAGCTCAGTGGTTCCGCTGCCTACCTCCCAGGCTCAGGGACAAAGTTTGATCTCCTGTATGTACAGATATTCCCCAACATAAACAAAAATGTTCAGAAATGTTTTAAATAAAAATTAGAAAATATTTTGTTTTTATACAACTTCTTTATGGGTCAGAAGGACAGGAAGAGGAAATACAGATGGGATCGTGGTGCGCTGGTCCCACAGGTCCTGTGGAATTTGATTTCCGTGCTTGGGAATGAATGGCTTCATTTGGCTGCCTGGCCTGGCCTGCTCCCCTCCCAGGGTCCTGGGCGGACTGAAAATGGTAAGGATGGAGGAGAGTCACCGCCAGCAGAGGGCGCACTGCGGGCTTTGCAGGGCCCCGGTGTCTGAGCTGGTCCAGCAGGGTGGGGTGGCATCTTCCTGTCCTGTCGCTTGGATGCTGCGAGGGCAGGGCAAGGGCACCGCCATGGGGGCTCCAAGGACATGCTGCCCTACCGGGCCACAGACAGGAGTCAGATCTGACAGTGGGCAGGGAAGGGAGTGGGCAGCATCTAGGGGTGCTAATGTGCAGTGCAGGATTTTGAGTTCCCGCCCTGGTCCTGGGCCCGCCAACACCCAGGGGCTGGTTCCTCGTGTCCAGCCCTGCCCAGTGCAGGCCCCAGCCCCCCTTCAGCCAGGTGGAGTTTGCGGCCCTGCCCCTTCGTGCTAGGACTCGCTGGTCCATCTTTTGGTAAGAATCCTGTAGGTGACTGTTCAGCAGCCCTGGATCTCTGAAGACGGGTGACTCGACTCCATGCTATGGACGCAACTCGTATTCCACCAGATACACAGGAATCTTGTGCGGACAAGGTGTGGAAAGGGCCATGTTAATCTAAAGTGCCCCTCAAACGTCTCCTGTATTTTGAAGTTGATGGATGCGGGGTCAATGGACTCATTCTCTAGTTTTCTGCTTTGTCTCCGAGGCTACTGCAGATAGGGCCAGGAAAGGGCTGCATGGAGCACCTGCACTGTGCCCAGTGGGATCCTGGCCAGCCCATCCTGAGGCTGCAGATTATGATTACTTCCTGGTTCATTTGGCAGGCGACCTCTTTTGTATGGGAAAACATCCTCCAGTCTGGGCTATGGCGGGTGTGGGGCAACATGGCTCTGTCCCCTCGTAGGTTTGTGGGCACAGTCTACATGGAGTCCCGTCTTGGGCTCACCTGCACTGTGCCCAGTGGGATCCTGGCCAGCCCATCCTGAGGCTGCAGATTATGATTACTTCCTGGTTCATTTGGCAGGCGACCTCTTTTGTATGGGAAAACATCCTCCAGTCTGGGCTATGGCGGGTGTGGGGCAACATGGCTCTGTCCCCTCGTAGGTTTGTGGGCACAGTCTACATGGAGTCCCGTCTTGGGCTAAAGGGCAGGAAGGAGTGTGTCCGGGGTCCTCCATTGTCTGTGCCTCTCTTTCCCCTCCCAGGGTCGTTGGTTGGGAATGAATGGCTTCATTTGGCTGCCTGGCCTGGCCTGCTCCCCTCCCAGGGTCCTGGGTGGACTGAAAATGGCAAGGATGGAGGAGAGTCACCGCCAGCAGAGGGCACACTGCGGGCTTTGCAGAGCCCCAGTGTCTGAGCTGGTCCAGCAGGGTGGGGTGGCATCTTCCTGTCCTGTCACTTGGATGCTTTGAGGCCAGGGCAAGGGCACCGCCATGGGGGCTCCAAGGACATCCTGCCCTACCGGGCCACAGACAGGAGTCAGATCTGACAGTGGGCAGGGAAGGGAGTGGGCAGCATCTAGGGTTGCTAATGTGCAGTGCAGGATTTTGAGTTCCCGCCCTGGTCCTGGGCCCGCCAACACCCAGGGGCTGGTTCCTCGTGTCCAGCCCTGCCCAGTGCAGGCCCCAGCCCCCCTTCAGCCAGGTGGAGTTTGCGGCCCTGCCCCCTAGTGCTAGGACTCGCTGGTCCATCTTTTGGTAAGAATCCTGTAGGTGACTGTTCAGCAGCCCTGGATCTCTGAAGACGGGTGACTCGACTCCATGCTATGGACGCAACTCGTATTCCACCAGATACACAGGAATCTTGTGCGGACAAGGTGTGGAAAGGGCCATGTTAATCTAAAGTGCCCCTCAAACGTCTCCTGTATTTTGAAGTTGATGGATGCGGGGTCAATGGACTCATTCTCTAGTTTTCTGCTTTGTCTCCGAGGCTACTGCAGATAGGGCCAGGAAAGGGCTGCATGGAGCACCTGCACTGTGCCCAGTGGGATCCTGGCCAGCCCATCCTGAGGCTGCAGATTCTGGTTACTTCCTGGTTCATTTGGCAGGCGACCTCTTTTGTATGGGAAAACATCCTCCAGTCTGGGCTATGGCGGGTGTGGGGCAACATGGCTCTGTCCCCTCGTAGGTTTGTGGGCACAGTCTACACGGAGTCCCGTCTTGGGCTAAAGGGCAGGAATGGAGTGTGTCCGGGGTCCTCCATTGTCTGTGCCTCTCTTTCCCCTCCCAGGGTCGTTGCTGTGGAAGGGCTGTGGGAAACTCGTCCTTTTTCAGGACCCCTGTCCTGGTACAGGCTTCACAGACCACACGGGCTCCTCCTTCCATCCAAGCCTCTCCCATGCCCTTGCCTGAACTCCCAGCTTCCCAACTCCAAAAGAGACCCCAGGGAACCTCTGCAGCAGACAAGGAAAGAGGGAGAGCAGCCCCCAGGGGTGAGGGCAGGCAGCCCTGTGACCGTGCACATTTCCTTGTTCCAGGACCAGGCCTTCCTTTGCCTACCCCACACTCTCCTGCCCTCAAAACACAGGCTGGCGACCCTCCTTCCGGGCTCTTCCTAGGGGCTCCAGAGGGGAAGGAAAATGGAGCAAAGTGGCAAGAGGGAGAGAGGTGCAGACCTCAGCTGGCTGGGGAGAAGGGGTCTAGGCCTAGAACATGGGGCTCCTGGGGGTGGAGGGAGGGGTGGGTGGGGCTCCAGCGAGCCCTGGTGGTCCTGCTGCAGTGGCAGCCACAGGAGTTCCATCCCTGGCCCAGGCCGTGGCCACTTGGGTTGTCTCTCTGGTTGCTGGAGGTGCTGGTGTGGGTGGATTTGATGGAGGTGGGGGCGGTGCAGGCGGAGGTAGTGGCAGCTGTGCACCGGCCTCGTGAGGGTGAAACCCTTCCCAGCAGAAATCCACTAAAGCCCCTGCTGACCAGGACTCCTAGGCCTTTGGCTAAGGCCACTCCCTCGTGCAAACCACCCATCTCTTGGTCAGCACCTATAGATACAATCAAGTGGTTTTGTCAGGTGCAACTGCAATCAGGATTCTGCACACAGCGCAGGTGCTCTGGGAAGGTGGATGCGGTGCTAGGTGACCTCGAAAAGGCACTGTGTAGGCAGAAACAGCTCAGACTCCTACACAGAAAGACCCACCTCTCCCCCTGCAGTGCCAAGCCCACCTCCTGGCCCCGCTCCCTGGAGAGCGGAAGCCCACCACTCTGCCCCCCAGGGCCGGCACTCCAGCCGCCCCAGGACACAGGGGATGGACGGAGCTGAGCAATGAGGATGGGCCAGGCTCTGGGCTGCAGAGAGGGGAGGACACCCGTGTTTCAGCCACACAGTGCACAAGAGGGTCGTGTGGCAGCTTCCTCCTGCGGCCCCCACTCTGGTTGATGCCTGTGAAACCTCCCTCCCCAGGGGACCCCTCCTCCTCTCCGAGTGCTGAAGAGGCTCTAAGCATGCGTGGGTTTCCCCAGTGAATTCCAGTGCTATCCAGGGATGTTCACCATGGGGAGTACAGCCACTGACACACAGGCAATGTTCTAACTTCCTAGTCGTCATGGAAATGGAAGTGAAAATGACACAATGTTGTCTGCAATGTGCATGTAGAACTGGGAAAAGATCCATACTGTGTACCTCAGTGACACACATTTGCGAATAAATCCTAAGAACAGAAGGGTTAGACAGATTCAAAAGTTACTCAGAGCATTTTAAAAGACCTTTTTAATTGTGATAAAGAACACAGAAAGCACAATTAGAATCTGAGTACAGCTGAATGAATCATCCTACAGCAACCCCAGGGTGAGCAGCATGGTGGCACCCGGTGGATCCCGCCCGGTCCCGGAAATGGCGACCCCTTGAAACCACAGCTTCCCCCTCCCTCGGTGGGGAGATGACCGCGTCCCTATCTCCCCAGACTGCAGATACCACACCCAGCATGCACTGGTCAGGACAGCCCAGCTCCTAGGGGTCCGCAGGTCAGTGCCCAGGGCCTGCGTTCTTGCCTTGGCCTCTTCGCTCCGCAGCAAAGGAGCCCTGCTGGAGACTGGGTGAGTGCAGGCAGGACTGCGGGGTCCCTGGCCTCCCCAGACACTGTGCATGGCGCTAGCACAGCACTCCGGAGGCAGAGTGTCCAGGACGTGGGTTCCTTCTCCCAGCCTCTGTGCACAGCACACTCCTCTCCTAAGCCCAGGCTGAGCTCACAGCCCTGAAGGTGCCTCTGCAGGGAGCCCCTACTTTTCTAGTACACTTAGTATGTGCAATCAGTCCCTGTCAGCCATTCCCAACCTGCCTAAGCACAGGAACTACACCAGGCCATTTTTGTACCCCTTAAACTTTGAAAAAAGAGAATGGGCAGCTCTGACACCCGAGAGTTGGCCTGACAGTCCCAGCTAGGCTGTAGTATCCTGCTGCTGAACCTAGAACACCGTGCATTAGACACCCGACAGGGTCGGTCTGTGACCATGCTGGAAGAAACAAGAGAACCAAGACTATTTCAGGACCCGGTACAACCGTACAGAAAGAAACCAGATCACGGTGAAAGCACAGAAATGCACGAATCCCTTCTCCATTCTAAGAAGAAAGACGCTGGCGCTGCTTCTTTCCCAGTTTGTCACCCATGCTCCTGACCTCCTTCCTTGTGGACAAAGTTTATTAGGCGGCCTGATCAGAAAGCTGCCCGCTGCCGAACAGCACCCACTCGGGAGCAGGGCCCACGTCCCTCCCAGGCCGCCAAACGCCAGCTCACAGCCTGTGAAGGTCTCGCTACCCTCGCCTGCCAGAGCCCCGCAGCGCCGCCTCCCCTATCGTGGTGGGTCGGGACATGGCTCCTCCGAGGACTAGGACGGGATCCCTGCTGGTAGCCGGGGCAATGGCGGCCCAGCTGACCCCGAGGGCCCCGCAGCGGGGCCCGGGTCTCCGGGGCGTGGGTAGGGCGCCAGGCCCCCGAGGCTCAGTACGCCAGCCCGGCTCCGAAGCCACCCTCACCCCGCCCTTCCGTGGCCGCCGCCCACAGCCTGCCTCACCTCTTTCAGGTCCACGTAAGGCCCGGCACCCTCAGGGAACGTCTCGTCCACAGCCGGCTTCATCGCTGACCTGCAGCTCTATACTCACTTCCGGCTCGCGACTGCATTTCCGGCGCGCTCCCGCCGGACAGATTTAGGCCTTGGAGGACCGCGACTCGGTGGTTTTCCCGCAGCAATTTGGGACCTCAGATCCCAGGCTGCTGGCTGCTTGTTGCTTGTCTGCGCAGCACTGCGCCTGAGCTGCGCCTACGTGCCAAGGCGACCCCTGCTGTCCCTAACCCAGGGAGCAGCAGAGCCCGGAGAGGGTGGCTAGGTCAGAACCTCGGGAAAGCACGCCACTTCTGGACCACCCCAAAAGAATAGAAAACAGGGTCTGGAGGAGGGGCCGGTGCACCCAGGCTCACTGATCCCAACAGCCAAAGGCTGCAAACAACCGGTATCCACCAGTGGGTGGGTGGGCAAACACGGGGTCTGTGCATATCCTGCAACACTGCTGAGGCCTCGTGGGGTACAGAAATCCTGACTCGTGGGCAGAGCAGAGGGGCTCTTGGGACATGCTCAGTGAAATAGGTCAGTCCCCGCAAGGCCAAGACTGTCTGATCCCACCAGTATGAGCTCCCGACCCAGAGTAGGCAGTTCATAGACAGCTCCCTAGGCACGAAGTGGTGCCGGGGCAAGGGTGGGGCTAGTGTCTGATGGGGTCTGCAGTTAGTGTTATCAGAGGCTCAGTTCTGTAGGGTGAAAAGGTTCTGGAGATGGATGGGGTGGTGGTTGCACAACCAGGTGATGTACTTAACACCACCTAAATGTTCAGGTTAAAGGGGAAATTTTATATTGTAGTATTTCACAGTGATTTTTAAAATATGAATAAGAAAGGGGAAAAAAAGAGGAAGATGGTAAGAAAGGAAGGGAGAATTGGAGCTGAAGACAAATGCTTCCTGGTTAACGGGACTGTGGTCCGGCTGTGAACCAAGGCCAGGTGCCCAGCCTTGTAAGATCAAGAGTTCCAGAGCTCTTACAGAAGCCCTACCCTGAAATCAGATCACCTGTGGAACACCCTGGCCTGCTTTCAGCGAGAGTCCTGCCAGCTGGTTTATCAGGACCACTGCCTCCCCACCACGTTGCCCTGGGTCACTGAGTCCTCCTCCTCCCCCAAGCCCACCCTACTCTTCACTGTTGATCCTCTGAGGCCCGAACTGCCGGGCTGAGTCCAGTCTCCCCCACATCTCATTGAGGTGCTCCCTGTGCCTATCCCGGTGGTCCCGCACAGACTTCCTTACCCTGCCCTTCTAGTGTGTTTGCTCCATGTTTTCTGTAACAGCTTTCAGTAGGAAGTGGGCTTGGCGCAGGGCTGCTGGAAGGGGACAAGGGTGCCGAGGGTCAGGGCTGAGGAGCAGGACAGACCAACAGAGCGAAGCCAAGATGGGGGTTGTGGCTGGGCAGGGTCAGCCCGGTCTGAGCAGGTGGTGCAGGGCACAGAGAGAAGACAGCAATGAAGACCCAGGTGAGGCTCAGAGGCCAGGTCAATGCGTGTCACCTGGGCACCAAGGGAAGGTCAGACCTAGGGAACCCATAGGCTGGTGGCCCAGAAGAGCTGCCCATTTGGTTTCTTCCATAGCAGGTGTGAGTCAGGGTCTCCAGTCTCCCTGTGGTTTGCACACCTTGGGGGAGGCTCACCACCTGCACCGACGCTGCCATCAGCACACATCCTTCCTCCTTCAGACTGCTCAGGTGACAGCCTGGGCCCTGCCTTCTTCACTTCCTGCTGCTCCCAGATGTGAGCTGTGCATGAAGCATGGACGCCTGGCCCAAAGTGACTACTGTCTACTTCTGTGACCTTGGGCTGGACTGCCTGTACTGGCACTGGCTCCTCTAACCAGCTGCGGTAGCCACAGCTAGTCAGCCTCAGTTTCCTCACCACAGTCTGGGGAGCTTCATCCCGGCCCCCCAGGGTCATCATGAAAACAGGAGGAGAGGCTCTGATGCCCTGTAGGCTGGAACTGCACACATTTAATGAAGAATAAAGCCAGGTTCACCTGTGAAGTAGCAGAGGGGCTGGGCAGAGCTATTTTTGAAAGAAACCCACAAGGTCTGCTGGAGCCTATGGGGCAGAGGCCAGTCGCCCCACCAGTGGCTCTGGCAACTCCGGATCTGCCCTGAGGTGCAGCCAGTGCCACTCAGTCCTCCTGGTAGGGGACATGGAAGCCCAGGATGCTCCCCAGAGGAAAGTGTGCAAAGAAGGTGCGGGCCAGGTCCTCCACCTGGGGGTAGGCGCCCTGGGTCTGGAAGTACTGCTTGTAGTTCCAGAAGTCAGAGGCGGAGAAAGGCCAGTAGGGCATTGCTGGTGCCTCAGCGTAGGGGTCTGCAAACATAGGACACCACCTCAGGGTGTGCCCCACAGTCCTGTCCAGGGCTGGGCCTCCACAGACTGGGGGCAGGTGCATGGCAGCCAGTAGTGCCTGTGGGGAGGTGACCTTCCTGGTTTGGAGAAGGGGTATCTGGGGTCATTCCCAGAACAGAGAGAAGCAAGGCCTGAAAAACAGGAGGAGGAAGGAGAGGAAGCAAGGCAAGGCCGAGAGGAGGAGGTCTGGCCTTGCCGGAGGAAATGCTGAGCAGGGACAGTGCGTGTGGAGGGCATGGGGGAGCTAGGGCAGCATCTGGTGGGGTTTCAGAGGACAGAGACCCAGAACTTGGACAATGACCATCCCAATGATACTGGACTGAGTTAGAACTTTGGGAGAGCCCAGGGCTGAGCCTACGGCTAAGGATGAGAATGGCAGTGCTACCCCTACCCCTTGGCTCCCAGCAGGCACAGCTCAGCAGGCAGCCAGGCCCACCTCCCAGCAGCCTCTGCCCCCCCCCACCTGGGTTGATTATTAGTGAAAGGACACACAGGAGAGCACCCTACCTTCCTCCTGCACTGGCTTGGCCCCTGTAAGAGAAGAGGAACGCTGTCACCTGGGGCCACCCTGGAAGGCCTCCAGGACCTAAACTCCACGCAGGAGGGCTAGTGCAGCAGGGAGGAAGATAGCAGGGCTGTGGGGACAGGGTGGGCCCTCACTTGTGAGTGGCCCCAGCAGAAGGCACAGGGCCAGCCCCGGCACCACGCAGGCCTGCATCTTCCCCAGGTGCAGTGCGCTCGGGTCCACCTGCAGTAGGGACCCAGAGTGCTGAGACCACCAGGTCCCAGCCAGCCTCCTCTGCCTGCCCCAGCGGGTGACCCTCGGGAGGTCAGTGTGCTAGCAGTTTCCCTCTGTGTCTGAGGGACACCCACACACCCACCCCCACTGGCCATACTTACTTCCGACGCCTTAAGAGACTTCGTTCTCACTGTGCACATCCACCCAGGAACAGCCTCGCTGTCCAGAGGGACCTCACCACAGTCACTCAGCCCAGCCGTGCAGCCTGCAGGGTGTTGCTGCCAGCTCCAAGGCTGCTCTTTATAGGAGCACTGGGGACCAGGAAGGGAGTGTCACCTGCCTGAGCCACCGCCAGACTGAATACTCCATTCCCAGCCCAATCCCTGTGGGCTTCTGTCACCCTGCTGGCCAGCAGAGGCACAGGATCCAAAGATCCAGTTGAGAGGAAAACATTTCTGCATGGGCCAGGGCTGAAATCCTCAGGACTGAATTCAATGTCAGTGCTTGAAACAAACCCAGTTATTCTCCTCCAGGAGAGAATTTCTTGGTCTGATATTGGGGCTGGAGAGAGACCCGGTAACCGAGAGCTGCCTCAGGTGACAAGCAAGCAAGGCTCCCCTGGAAGTCACTGCAGCTCCTGGTTGGGCTGGGCCCACAGGACACCTGCTGAGCCGAGTTGAGGGCAGGAAGTGTGGGTCAGGCTGGACCCCATCTCCAGACCAGAGCTCCACAGCTCACACAGGCTCCTGAGGTCCGTCACAGACTGGGACATGGTCCCAGCTCTGGGAGACTCCAAGTCAGCCTCTGCCACTGCACAACAGTGCCCACCTATCTACCCAGGTAAATGTGGCCTGCTGACCCTGCCCTTGAGTCCCGACACCCCACAAATGCACCACGTCCACGGGAACTCTCTTTTGTCACTCCTGCTTTCCAGGGCTCTTCAAGGAAGCCGGGAAAGTCCTCACCTGTGTGTTCTGAAATCAGGGCTCCCAGCTTTATCCTAATCTCCCCAGTGTCCCAATCCCAATGAATAAGGACTCATTCTTTCCCAAACAGTGCCCTACATTTAAATAAAAACCCAAGAAAGTATACATTCAATTTGTATTGTAAGGCAGCCACCTACCACCCAGGACTCAGGGCTTCATTTCTAGAAATCCAGTCCTTGTGGCTTCTTTGAGAGCAGCTGTTTTGGGGTCCCCAGGACCACCCTAGCCCATGACTGACTAGAAGAGCCACAGTCAGAGAGCCCGTGGCCACTATCTATCACAGCAGCAGGCACATAGGGGATCTGCAGAGAGTAGGGACCGGCAGAGCCTGGAGGGACCAGCAGGAGCTCCATCATGAGCCATGGATGGGCCCCAGGCGCGGCTCCCTGTCCACCCAGATGGCCGCAGGTCTAAGGTGATGGAAATGCACCTATGATGTTAGACAGTCTCATAACGTGACACGTTCTGTACCTTTATGACTATTTTCTTCCTGAAAGACTACCTAGAGAAGGTCTCGGAGTAATAACAGCAATGGTATTGAATGCTGGGTACATTTGCCTTTATTTCTGGGTGTGTATGTTTTCTGTAATTTATTACTTTTATGCAAGAGAAGAAACACTAAGGATAGCCCAGCACCACCAGTAGGCCCTGTTAGTGCTCACTGCTTGCCCAGCTGAGTGGACTGCGAGGACCCCCATGGCCAACATCCACTTTCTCTCCACTGGTGTCCCTGCCTGGATGATGCACCTTTGCCCCCACTCTTCTGTTGGTCTGTCCCTTGCGCTCTGCAGCAAGGCCCCAGGGGGTTAAGTGTCCATGTTGGTGAGGGCTCCCACCACCCTCAACCCTTAAGAATCACCAGGGCTCCTGTTAAAATTCAGGCTCTCATTCAAGGGCTGGATCCAGGCCTGGGCAGCGAAGCCAGGCAGGGTTTCAGCCTCAGCTGGACCGGAAGCACCTGGAGGACGTGCTGTAAGGCACATCTGTACCAGCCCCCAGAGTTCTGCCTCAAAAGCTCCAGTGGGCCAAGGAATCTGCATTTCCAATACATTTTCTGGCATGGTGAGCTGGGCCAGTTTCTTGCCTTTACCGGAGTGAACATTTGGACCACGTACTTGTGTTTGAATAGCCTCTTTGTTCAGCCTCCTAATATAATGGGCCAGAGTGGGCCCAGGTACTGTTGGGTTTGACACCTATCCAGTGACTGCTCTGTAGCCTGGCTGGTCAACACTGCCTGGGGTCAGTCACTGCTCTCCAGCCTTTGTCATTGTCCCCCAGCCCCATCCCTGCCCCACACAGGACCCTGTGGACGCATTGGTGGCCTGGGGAGGGCCACTTTTGTGGGATGGGAGACAATGCAGTACACAGGGCCAGTTCTGGTGGACAGAGGTCATCCTGTGGCTTCCCCTGGCCCAGAGAAAAAGTGACTGCAGGCAGCCTCAGCATTGGGCAATTCAGAGGTCTCTGGCGCCCCCTTCTGGCCATCACAGGACACCAGGCATGGCCGGCTGCTGTGTCACTGGGTGGGGCAGCTGGCAGGCCTGGGCTTTAGAAACCTTCCTGCCCATCTGAGCTCCAGGACACCTGCTTCTGCTCGTCCAACAGGAGCTGTCCCAACATGAGCACAAACATTTCCTTGTGGTTTAAAGTCCCGAGACCACAGGTCCTCAGGACACGGCTCCAAAGCACAGTGGCTTCTGTCCCTCCTCCCCATGGTCACCTGCCTTCATGTGCTGTGGACAAGTCCATGGTGCTCCCATGGTGTGGCCTCTGTAGAGCCTCCAGTGAAGCTGGGAGAGCTCCCCTCCTGCCCTGCATCCGCACTGGGGCCTCTCTCACTGCCTCCACCTCCTGCCCTGCTGGGCACAGGCCTGCAATCTTCACCACCACCTCAGTCCCCCAGCTCTGCACTCAGTGACACATCCTCCATCCCACCCTGCAGGCAACAATGCCCCCCTGCCCTGCTGAGTTCCTGGGTTCCTGGCTCAGTGGGCAAGGCCAGGGAGTGTGCAGACTGGACACACAGTGGGCAGAGCAGCTGTCCCCCTTCACCCAGTGAGCCAGAGCCCCTTTCAGCCATCTACCCTGCTGCCCCCGCTGAGTCACAGGACACAGTGACAACCACCTCCACTCCAACCAGCATGAACTTCTGTCCCCATAGCCCTGAAAGAAGTGACCTAGGTCCCTGGGGAAGGGACGTCTCCTAATATCATGTTTGTTCTCAAGCCCTCAGGTTTCCACCATACTTGCTGTTTTAATCAAATTACTTAGTCAAACATCATGACATGTAAGGAACATGAAAAGACTTTTGGATGAAAAGTGACTTGGAAAGACCCACTGAAAATGGCCAAATCAGATGTGGTGCGACAACTTTAAGGGACAGGAACTGCAGTGTATATCTAGAAGACCTGGTGGGGTGCCTTCTGGGATCCCCTGGGCTCTAGGCTCTGAGGAACCAGAAGTAGGCGTCAGGTCCATGTGTTACTAAGAGTAGGCTCCAGGGGGCACCATGCTCAAGGCCTGCGCTGCTGGGCCCCTGCCCCGTTCAGGCCAAGAAATAGATGGTCAAAGAAAAGCCCCTACTCCAGGTCACAAGCTTGGCCGCTTTAAGGTCTGAAAGTTAAAACCTTTAAGCATATGGCTCTTCTTTTTAAACATTCTGTTTCCTCCCTTGAAATGATTGTGAAAATTTCTGAGCAGGTCCCAGTCCAGTCCAGGAGAGGATGCTCCTAAACCAAGAGGGAACCTGGCCTGAGTGGGCAGTGGGGGTCCAGGGGGAGGCCTGGAAGATGCAGGATACCCCATTGGATTTGAACTTCAAATAATTAATACTTTTCTGGTAGTTTTTCTCATATAATGTCAGAAACAAACATAAAAAATGTAATTCCTTGTTTCGCGGAAATTCCAGTTTCACCTGTATCTTCATTTGCTAGATATGGCAGTGCTGTGCTGGACAGAGCCCTGTGGCCCTACCTGGCCGTGTTGGCAGTGAGAAGGGGCCCCAGCTCACACCCCCAACTGCCAGCATGGCCCCACCCTTGGGCACAGGGCAGGCAGCTCAAGGCCCAGGAGAGCTTTCTGAGGTGCTTGGCCCTGGAGCCTGGGGTTCACATTTGGACACCAGATGAGCAGACAGAACAACTTAGTCAGCTGAGCTCGTGGCCTGGTCACCAGGGCCAGAGGGAGCCTGGTGGACCCAGGGTGTCTGACAGACCCTGCTCCCCGATCGGCCAGCACCGGTGGGGCACCGGGACCGTGACTCATCAGGACACACCAGCACTGCGCGAGCGGGGAGAGGCATCCACCCCTTGGTGCTCCTCACCTGCTCCCTGAGACCCGGCCATCTTTCTGGAAGTGCTCCAGGCCCGAGGCCACCTTTGACTCCAGCCAGGACTTACCTGAGGTACAGAGAAGCTGCATCTGTGGGGTGGCACCAGCACCCTGACACACAGGTCCGGGGGAAGGGGCTGCCTGGGACTCATCCATCCGGGTCCCTGGCTGCCGTGCGTGTCCCAGCTCCTGGAGCACACGCTGCAGAACCATTTCACAGTGACCCAGCCATCTCGTCTGCTCTCCTACCCTAGTGCTCTACCCACCATGTTTCCAGGAACAACTAGGGAAGGGCAAAATGTGGAAGGAAGTCCTGGACCCCCACCTTGTGGGCTGCGTAGGTGGCAGAGGCCCGTGGGGGCCGGTCCTGCTCTCTGTGCAGGTCACACCCAGGAATGACTGGCTGGCAGACAGGACCTGACCATGCATCACAGCGCTCCACCCACCGGACTCCTGCAGAGTAGCCTGGTCCCTTCAGAGGTCACAGTAGGGTCTGGGCCCTTCCTAGGCACAGTGCTTCTGGGTGAGGCCTGGTGAGGCCCGGTGCTTTTACAGACAAAGCCATGTCTGCCACAGACCTGTGCACAAGGCCTGGCCTTCTCAGAGACTGCAGTGTCCTCAGGCAGCAGCCTCCCTGACTGAGGAGACTCACTGGAGGAAGGAGGGGCCAGCACCCCTCAAGCTCTTCCAGTCTCTGACCTCAGGGGTTCTGGGAGCCAGGCAGTCCTGAGTGGGGACCAAGCACATTTGATAGCAGCCAGGAGGGGACAGCTGGGTTAGGAGAACCACCAGGAAGTTCTCTGCATGGTCATTCTCTGCCCGGTCATGAAGGGGGCTCCAATGTCTGCAGGCACAGGGGGATCTGGACAGGGGTGGTAGAGGGCATTGGGCATGGAGGGGTCCAGTCCTGGGGCTGGGAGACAGGACT